AGGGACCCCCCCAGAGCAACTCCAGGACCCCATGCGGTCCCAGGACAGCCCAGAGCTCCTGGCACAGGGATGACTCTGCCGTGTCCCCACCGCTGCCATCCCCCTCAGTTGGAGGAGATCCCACACCCATCCCGCAGGCACAGCTCCAGGATCTGAGGCTGGATCCCGACTGGGAGCAAGGAGGAGCTGGAGCCCCAGTGGAGGGATATGCAGGGGCCTGGTGATCTTCATCACCCCAGAACAGCAAATGGCTCCTCAAACCAGAGCCCACAAGGAGGGCTCTGGGGGGGTCCAGCCCCAGGATGGGACCCCGCTGTGCCACTGGCACGGCCTGAGGGGATCCCGACACGGGGCAGCCGAGGCCCTGCAAGCCCAGCAGATGAGGTGGGAGATCTGGCAGGGACCCGCAGGGACACCCTCTGGGGCTGCCACCGCCGGCACCTCCCGGTCGTGCGTGCTGCCAAACCTCTGCCAAACCTCTCCGAAAGGGCCGAGGCTGCCGCGCTCGGTGCTTCAGCAGCGGCTCGTGGCACGGCCCGTGTCGAAACCCGGATTTCATCACACCCTCGCCCGCCTCAGCTGGTGCCCTGGCAGGGGCCGGAGGGGCCACTGAGCCCGGCCGGGGCCACCGGTGATTCATCCTCCAGAGAAACCCGTATGGGCGGTGACGCAGCTGCTGCCACACACACGGCGCTCCCGGACATCCCGGGATGGCCCTGCAGCCACCCCCCCTCCCCGGGCCCTGAGTGGGGGGCTGGCCCTGCCCTGACCCCAGCGGGGACCCCCGGCTGGCACGGGGACAGAGGCCACGGTGGGGCTGGATAAGGAAAAGCCTTTCCGGTCCCACCTCGCGTGTGATGCACCGGCCGGGAACATGGCTTTGGAGGTCAGAGGAGGCGGCAAAGGGATGTGCCAGAACCAGGCAGGTGGTGGCTGCAGGTCAGCACCGCAGACTGGGATGGACTGGGATGGACTGGGATGGAGTGGGCACTCACCGGGGTGGGGAGGGGGCCGGGAGAAAATAAAAGCTGGGAGGTGGGAATGTCACCCACGCTCCAGGGACAGCCCAGGCCCTGAGGATGCCAGAGCTGCCCTTGGCATCGCTGGGAGCTCAGCCAGCACCAGGTGCAGTGTGGACACAGGCCATCCACGGCCATCCACGGCCATCCATGGCCATCCATGGCCATCCACGGCCATCCACGGCCTCCCAGCCAGGCTGGGGCTCCCATGGCCCCGCTCCCCCCCCATCATCGAGTGTGGAGCTGCCAAAACTGGGCCACGGCACAAAACAGGAGCTGGGTGAGGTGGGGAGGGCGGGGGGCAGGAGCCTCGGCACGGCAGCACCCTGGGGACGTGTGGTGGTGGGTGACGAGGCGGGTGCAGGGGGGGTGATGACCCCGGGGCTGACCCCCGGCTCCCACCGCACTGGGCACGGCCCAAGTGGCAGCGACGCTCGCCCGGGTGTCAAACCCGGTGGCAGCAGCACCCACAGGCCCCGGGATCCCGGTGGGGACACGGGGGGGGGCAGGACTGCCCCGGGAGCCAGGACGGGGGGCACAGAGCTCCGGGCTGGGGGGGCTGTCGGTGCCACGGAGCCGGTGCCATTCCCTGGGCAGGGAGCTCGGCCCCCCCCGGCCCTGCGGCCCCCCCGGTCCGGTGGCACCGGGAGGCCCCGGGAGCGTGACGCGACCTGATTAAAAAGGACGTTTCAAAAACAACGACACGCAACAACCGGCTGCCATTTCCCGGCCACTTCCTGCGGGGACGGACACGGGGGGACACGGGACCGGCACCCCCCGCGCTCGGCGGGGACCCCCCGGTTCCTGCGGCAAGGACATCCCCCGGCCCCGGAGCCCCCCCGCCGGGTCTCGGGGCACGGGGGGGCTCCCGCCCCCTCCCGCCCCCTCCCGCCGCCGCTGGGGGGTCCCGGTCCCGGCGGGTGCGGGAGGGGGGGACACGAACGGGCGGTGACGGAGGGGAGGGGGCTCCCCCCAGCCTCCGGGACGGGGATGCGGGAGAACCGCACCGGCCACCGGGGACGGGGGCTCGGGCTCCCCGTGGGTCCGGGCCCTTGGCCGCCGCACCGGGAGGGGATCGGGGGGGTCTGGGAGCGCCGGTAACGCGGGGGGCCGTGGAGCCGGGATGCGCAGGAGGAAGTGGGGGACAGGACGGCGTCTCACCGAGGTCAGGAAAGGGGAGCGAGGGGAGGTTTCGCCTCTCCCGGTGCCGCCGCCGCGGGGCCGCAACTGCCGCAACCGAATGCCCCCCCCCCCCCGCCCGGGCCGTTATCGGCCCGTTACCGCCCGCCCCCCGCGACCCCCCGCACACCCCCCGCACCTGGCAGGCGGTGCCGCGGGCCCGGCTCAGGCGGCGCGGGGCGGGGGACGGCTCGGCATGGCGCGGCCCCTCCGCCGCACCGGGCCGGACCGGGGCCCCTCCGCTCCGCTCCGTTCCGTTCCGGTACCGGGGCCGGGCCGCGGAGCCGAACCTGCGGCCGCGGCAGGAAGCGCCTCGCGCCGCCGGGCGGTCCCGGGACCGCCCCCGTCCCGTCCCGGCCCCCCCCGCCCGCCCCCCCCGGCACGTCACGGCGGCCGCAGTGGCGTCACCGGGAGCGGCGCCGCCGTGGCGTCACCGGGGGCGGGAGCGCGCGCCCACGTGGGAGGGGGATCCCCGCCCCCGGCGGGGTCAGGGCGGGGGGAATCCCCACGCGGGGCCGCCCCCCCCGGCCCCCGCCCCCCCCGCACCGGGCGGGGATCCCCCTCCCACGTGGGCGCGCGCTCCCGCCCCCGGTGACGCCACGGCGGCGCCGCTCCCGGTGACGCCACG